GCTAAAAACCCCATGCATATGCATCAAGCTTGGAACTTTACATATAAAATGGATATTAGGAGGCCAGGTCTATGGTTTTGGTGTGTTAAATCCCATTTAGATCGACTGTATAGAAACGGTCAAGGTTGGACTTGGCGAGTCGTTCTTGGGACTCGGCAACTCGGTGCGCTTTCAACCATCCTAAACCCTTCTGTGATGGTCAGTTGTTAGAAAAGGGAGTCCCATAGCTGTTTAGACATGTTGGGAGACCTGGAGTTCATAGGACTTGACGAGTGCTAGAATAGACTCGGCGAGTCCAAGGAAATCTCCCAACTCTTGAAGATGAACTCGACGAGTTGTTCATACAACTTGGCGAGTCATAGACTGGACGTGTTCATATGAGGGAGATGAACTCGGCGAGTCGGATGAAGGTGGTACCGATGGTTTGAAAGAAGGGGAACCCGTCAAGTTCTTGCTAGGATCGAAGAGTGGAGTCAGGGATTGGATTGGGTTAGTGGAGTATGGACTCGGCGAGTTGGTGTACCAACTCGGCGAGTCAAGTCAACTGGGTGTTGACTTTGACTGGTTATGGTATTAGCTCTAGCTAGGGCCATATGTTATGTATGATGACTTAAGGATTGTCGTTTAGGGATTGAGGAGTCGAGGAGAGCCGACCTTCACGTAGAGGACAGTGCAGACGCTACACGACATCGAGGTGAGTTACCTTCTAGTAGCGGTGGGTCTACGACCATAATACCGACCCATCAGTAGGAGTTGTATGATTAGATGATTGTCTCTGTGATATTCATCTAGGTTTGCTACTAATCGATATGTTTATGTGCTAGTATGATATGATGTTATGTGCTAGTGACAGTAGGGAAGATAGTCCCCAGATTACCGGTCGATAGGGCCGAAGGGGTACTCATACCCAACCATGCTAGATAGATTATGTGATATGTGTTATGTGGTAGTAGTAGAGGGGTGAAATAGTCCCCAATATCTGGTCGAGAGGACCGAAGGGGAGACCAACACCCATATATTGCTAATCAGTATCCGGTCAAGAGGACCGAAGGGGGAGGCCAACACCCAGATATGCTAGCCAGTATCTGGTCGAGAGGACCGAAGGGGAGGCCAGCACCCAGGTATGCTAGGCAGTATCCGGTCAAGCGGACCGAAGGGGAGGCCAACACCCAGGTATGCTAGGTAGTATCCGATTGAGAGGACCGAAGGGGCAGATCGGGCACCTAGATATGCCTGACAGTATATGTATGCTATGTGATTGTATGGTATGTGGAACGATGGGGGAACTCACTAAGCTTCGTGCTTATAGTTTACAGTTTTGGTTTCAGGTACCTCTTCAACGAAGGGGAAGGAGCTGGCGCGGTAGCAGCACATCATACACACACGCAATGGTTTTCCGCACTTGAGATATTCTGGGATTGTACTCTGACATGTTACTATTTCATGATTTGGGTTTTCAGACATGATGTATTGATTTACGAAATGATATATTCTTACGTGAATGTTTTTATAATCAGTTAATTAAAATGAAATTTTTTGGACTCGAAAATTGGGACGTTACATTTACATCCCAATTAATATACTAATTGCTCACTGGTTTTTAGATGCTTTGGATTTGAATACATTCAAAATGACTATATACGACAGTTAGTGGAAGAGCGACTACATTTCAGAAGAATAGGAATGGTTTGTAGGTATGATGTGACATCCCCATTTCACGGCCAGAAAAGACCGATGTTTATGCTTTGTTTTAAAATCAGAGTAATCATTTAAAGAAAACTGCTGCAAAATTTGTTCCCAAAACAAAATGTGATAAAGAATTTATCAAAATATTTCTTTAAAGAAATGTATTTTCATTAAATAAAAAAATCTCGGGATGTCATGTTCTGATACATACCAAAAGCATAAACAATACAAAATAGACCTTACAACAGTTATTTATAACTACTGGCCTATAATCCAAAATCTCTCGTTATGCCAGCCAATTTATGCTCTCGTGCCATAACTTGTAATACAAAGAAAACTGAGTGGGTCAGGCTTGGGAGCCTGGTGAGCATATAGGGTTTTCAACCCACAATGTTATATCATATATGTATATATATTAGAACTCACAAACTTATACAATTTCACCATACAAAACAACTCTAATCCCACCCCGTCGATCCTCATAATGACACGATCTAATCTCTCGTATCAAAATTTACCTCCTTACCTGATCCCTACTCATGGATCTAAAATTAACCTCTTGATCTGATCCATACTACCAGATCTAAAACTAATCTCCTCATCTAATCCATACTCCTGGATTTAAACTAATCTCCTAATCTAATCCATACTCCCGGATCTAAAACTGTGCCCAATCCATACTCCCGGACTAGGGATAATTAACTATGTCTTAATCCATACTCCCCGATTAATAACAAGTTTATCTCATTTATTGACAGTATCGTTTTCGAGACCCCTATCGCAATATGTGTCAATGAGTTCTTAGAGTACACCGGTGAACATCAAGTTCACAACACCTACAAGTTGTCAGCCTGCTACTATTCCACTGGACTATCTAGAATAGTCCGTGGTTGTCATCCCTACTCTGCTGAATGACGGGGACCATCGTTTGGGTAAAGGTTTCACTCATTTTTCACCTGTCACCCTCACCTCAAGATCTATATCACCTTTTATCTCATTATCAAACTCATCTTTTATCACACACCAACTATCTCATCTACCCCTGTTCTACCCAACATATTTGTAGATATAAAATACATATACAGTTTAACTCATTTAAAAACTATATAAAACATCCATTCCACACTCATCTCAAATAAACAACAATATATAAACACATAACATGTTTCTCATAGCAAATACTTCATATTTTATGTGTTAGAAGAAAGTGACTACACATTCACTCATAACATATATGTACTACATTAAACCAATACTTGTATTAAAATCGTGTTTATGAAAGGGACTATACACTCACTTGATCAAAAGATGATCGGATAGCACTACGACTCTAAATGTAGTATTCTTCGGTGAAACTGGAAGATCTTTCACACACCGGGCTTCTTGCAAGCAGAGCTTCGGATTGGAAACTCTTTCTTCTCGGGATCTTTGGAGCTTCGGGACTAGCTTCGGGTCTCGGGATGATACCGGGGCTTTGGGGTATAAATTGCATGTAAAACGATGTAATATGGGAGAGAGGAAAGGAATTGAGCAACAAAACTAGTCTGGCCTTCAACTTCTATTTACAGGGCTATTTTCTGTACTAACGTCGTGAGATTATGGTGCTCACGTCGTGAGCTCAGTAGGTCACTGCGTTCGTCATTCATCCACTTGCTTTGGAAGGTGTCCAGTGTGTGCTCACGTCGTGAACATTGTGCTCATGTCGTGAGCTCTGACACAACCTCGAAGTTTGTGTTCCGAACATCAGAAATTCATATCTTTCGCATACGAGCTCCGTTTTCGACGTTCTTTATATTCACGCGTAGGTGAGATTATGCACTACAACTCTCGTTTCGACTCTGTCGGCTAATTTTGAGTTTATTTTTATTATATTATTTTTAGTAGACCGGGATAGGAAAACTCCATTAGAAATCCATAACTCCTTCATCTGACGTCCGTTTTCGTCTGTCTTTTTATCATTGGACTACTATCAATAAGATCTTCAATTCTCGTTTAGATTGTTTCGGCTAAATATCGCTCGATCTCATATTCGAACTTTGAGTTGTATACTGCTAAGTCGAAACTTCGAAAAATCATAACTTCCTTATACGAAGTCAGATTTAGACGTTCTTTTCATGCACGCTCTCGGTTTAACGTATTCTATGACTTTCGTTTAGATCACTAAGGCTAAATATCGCTTTATCGTAAATTTACTATTTACGTCGCAGTGTGTCGTGTCGGTTCTGTCGCGAAACTTTGACAGGTCATAACTTCTTCGTTATAACTCAGATTTCGGCATTATTTATATATCCGGAATCCTTGTCACGACCACTTCAACTTCATTAAGATTATTCATTCTAAATAATATTCTATCAAAAAGTCATTTTTTATGCTCATTGTCTCTAAATTGACTAGCCCTGATCTACGAACATTACATATGAGAGCTCACATCCACAGACTGCTAGTAGGTATCAACTACCGGGGTACCAAACCAACAGATGCAATCCCTTTAGAGAGTTTCAAAAAAAAAGGTCACAGACGTATCGCAACAGATTGACAGTAGGGGGATTGTGGGGCGTTTTTGTGTTGATTTCTGAAGATGTTGATCGTCGGGAAGTCATATTTTATAAAGGTTAAAAGCCATCCATGGACTATGTCATATCGGAAACGACTGGCGAATTTTTTTTTGGGTACAAGTGCAAAGGCCATTTGAACATTATATTATTACTTTAAACAAATCACTTAGGCTTATGTATTTCTTTGGTTTTTTTTTTGTTGATTTTAAGATTTCATTGCATTTTAGATTTTATAAAAACAAAACTTATACAGAAAAAAACAAAACACATTTTATACATAAAAAAAACAAAAAGAAAAATATATTCCGGAATGATTGTCCGGAATCTTACTCTAGTGTTTTGGAGATCTCTCCGGAATGTTATATTCCGAACAAAATGATTAATTTACAAATATATATATATATATATATATATATATATATATATATATATATATATATATATATATATATATATCAATTTTTTCAAATAATTCATTTATAAGGATTATTTTACTCAATTTTCCATATATATAACTTAGTATTGTTATCAACGTTATATCAATTGATAGTTATTAAGAATGATATTTTAGAGCATAGTGATTACAAAGAGTTGGTGACCAATTTTTCGTCTAAAATTGTGTGGAGAGCTGCAATCATGTAACCATGTATATATCATACTATGTATGGTTCTTTTATCTCGATGAGTTTAATAATATTTTTCGGACATGTAGTACTAACGTGTTTTGTTTATATATAGAAAAATTATATTTAAGTGTCCATTTTTTTGTCAGAGCCCTCAAGATCAGCGACTCTTACCACAAACAGATCAATGACTCTTACCACAAACACATGATAATATGAAGTACTTCTCACACTAACTAAGACACAAACTACGGTCGTGTAAAACAAAAAGAATCGAAAGAGAAAGAAAGATAGCACATCATTGAAGGGGAGTAATGCAGACCACGTAAGGTCATGATCATGGCTCCAACTCAGCACAACGCCACCCATGGTGTGTACAATCATGCCCTCTGCATCCTGCAATTCATTGCCACTTCACCTTCATGAAGAAGGCATAGTTGGCCCAAGACCACCAGACGTGGCCCCATACGTAGCATCATGACGTAAAAGGTATATCCAAGATAACAATTCCATGATCAGCCATATTATTGTTACTAGGTCATTTAACCACCTAATCAATCGCAGTTTATTTAACTTTAGTATTGAAAATTCTTCAACTTATAAATAAACCATCTCCACAGTTCTTTACATCAAACCATCTTCACTGGAAATTGTTTGCCAAACCCAAACATCGTCAAAACCATGTAATCACCGTCTCACCACTGTTGATATTAGTTAATTGAAACCATTAACATGTCTAGAGAGATTCGATAATATTCTGTAAAATACAATTTGCAACTTGCTCTATATATATATTTTTACTAGTACCCAATCATAATCAACCAAAAACAACCCATATCTTATCTACACAAGTTACCAAAATCTAATCCAACAAACATTTACATTTGGAATTGATCCATTTCCAATCGTATAAAGCTGGAATCTGTACGTACGTACGTATATGTGGAATCAAACACCATACATCGCCGGAACCATATCAGAACCACATCTCTGACTGCCACCAAAGAAATTACTCACAATCGAATCAACATCCTCCGCTCCAACTCCGATGCACACCGGACCCCCATTGCCTACCCTCACATTCGGAGCATCTCTGCACTTACCCATACACTTGCAACCCACCACCGCCGCTTCTCCGCCTCCTACCGCCTTCTGAAAATTCTCCAGCAACATTTCAGCTCCAGATTTCTTGCACTTCCCACCCATGCAAACCTCTATCTTGTTAATTCCCTCATCAACACTAACCAATACGTCGCAAGGAATCAAGCCTGGGATTTCCGTGATACTCAAAGATGGTGATGGTGATGGTGTTACTTCTTGATGGATGACTTTTGGGGTTGTTACCGTTTTGAGCTGCTTCATATCAACCATGTTCTCACAGTCAGATTCTGAAGAACAAGAACTCTCCGACGAAGACGACGACTCATTGCAAACCATCATCATCTTGGCAGCTTTCTTCTTCGCCTTCTCTTCTTTCTTCATCCTCTTCGATTCCATCTCCTCTGCTTTTAGCTTCTGTAATTGTCCAAGTAACACCTCTGTTGCTTCCTGCAAAATCACAAAATATTCAGCATAAATTCTTCTATAAAAACCAGATCAGCTGAATCTTGATAATATTAACAAGAGAAAATTAGGGAAACTGATCATACCGAGATCATCTGTCCCTTAACTTGGTGATCCAACCCATCATCAGGATTCAAACCGAAGCCCATATCAGAGAAAGTAGACAAATTCTTTGACAAACCCTTGAGCAGTTTCAGTTTCTTCTTCATATCTTTCTTCTTTGAAGCAATATCTTTCTCCTTTACAGCCATCAACGGCCCGTTATAATATTGTAAGTGGCTCTTGTCGGAAAACTCATCAAAACCCACGGAAGCAACAAGGGACTTCACATTGAATGATTGTTTAAGACAGAAAGATCTGGCCGGTTTCATCTTCGGAAAAGAGTGCAAGTGCAGGGAGTTGAAGGCATCACCACTGCTCGAAGAGAAGCACGGAGCCTGACGGAGTACAACGCCGGCGACCTCCATCGATATTACTACTACTACAAGAAGTATGTGGTATCGATCGGCTTTTAATTAAAAGAAAAAAGACCCAAACAACGAACCTAAAAAGCGAAACGTAGAAGAAAGAATGGAAGATGTGGAAGGGTTTGTGGGATTCGGATGAATTGAATTGAATTTGTGACGCACCAAAGAACGTGGCGTGGAAGCGGTGGATTTTCTAGTGTTTGACGGTGAAGGTGCTTTAATCTGGGTCGTTGGATGGTCATCTGGATATACGTACGCCGTTGGATATGACGTGGCAAATGATCGCCGCCTAGCACTCGTACGCTTGCGACGGTTATCAGTTTGCCATGCTCTTTAGCTTTCTTGGCATACGCGCTTTTATGATCTCTGCCATAGGATTTGACCACTTTCTTCTTATTCCTTACGTGGACTGCCACGCAGACTGCTTAGTCATCACCTTTTGACAGATATTACCCTTCTTCGAATATTCGCATATATCGTCTACACTACAAATATCAAAATTAGTTTATTTATCTTATTAGTTTTACGATTAACTACATCAATATTATTATAAATATATACAAATACAAAATTACTCTAGCAAAATATATATATATATATATATATATATATATATATATATATATATATATATATATATATATATATATATATAAACCGAAGAGGATATCATTTCTGAGTTCCTTGAAGCACTAGAAGTCGATCCACCTAAGTCCGAACCAAAGCCGAAGAAATCCAAATTCGAAGAAAGTAAACCTGTTGAAACACTGAAACCACGACGTGGAGATCCAATTTCCTTCCCGAGCCAATATCCATCCACTGGAGCAGGAGCATCTGAAATTTATGCAACAAGTGAAAGGTATTCCAATAAACACCCCTTTCATCGATTCGTTATCTAAAGTTCCTGAGTGTGCCAAGTTTTTGCAAGATTTAATCACTACTCGCCAACAACTAGAGAAGGATTCCAAGGTATTTCTAAGTGAGCAGAGTTCTAAAGTAATTATGGGAGAATTACCAAAGAAGATGGGAGATACTAGATTTCTCACGCTTCCATGTGAATTTGGGAATAATTTGAAGACTTATGCTTTAGCTGATTCTGGGGATTAGCATAAATCTAATGCCTTACTTATTCTATCAAAAGCTTAATATTCCAAGGTTACAGGCTACAAGAATGACAATTCACATGTCCAATCGTTCAGTGACATATTCAGGAGGCATTGTAGAAGATATTTTTAGTTAAAATTGGAAAATTCGTTTTTCCAATTGATTTTGTCATAATGGACATGAAAGAAGACAATAATGTTCCAATCATCTTTGGTCACCCTCTACTTAATACTGCTAGAGCCTTGGTTGATATTCGTGAATCCAAGCTTACCTTAAGAGTGGGAGATGATGAAGCTACTTTTAGAGTAGAAGATGGCTACCAAGTCGATGAAGAGAATAAACTTGAAGAATTAGAAAAGCTTATGAATGAAAAAATTTGTCAAGTCAACCACACCAAACCAAGAGATTCTGTTCCTATGGTCTTTGAAGTTATTGCTTATACCACTCCACATCTTGGGTGAGTGAAGATAGTGAAAAATTGTTGTCCAGTGATGAAGAGGATCTTACTTCTAAATTAAAGAGTTTAATTGAGGAAAAGAGGATGGTGCCCGTGGAGCTTAAAAATGAAGAAGTTAAACATGTGGAAAACAAGGGAGTTAAAAGAAAGTTCAAAGAAGGAGATGTAAAGGGTAAAAAAGAAATTTCCAAAAAGGCGTATCTTCGACGAGTTCAAGCGTATAAAAGGAAATGGAAGGAGAAAATGTGCAATTTGTGATGGATACTCAAACTAATTCAGCGTAAGGTGGCACGGAGTCCGGATCAAGACTCCAACAAAAAGAAGCGCTTCTCGGGAGACAACCCGATCTTGGTTTGAATTTATTTTCGTTTTTGAACTTAGTTTAATTTTTGCATTTTAGTTGAGTTGTGGGATAATTAATCATCTAATTGTTTTAATTACTGTAACGCCCGTAGATCCGGACTAGTAAATTTAGAGACAATGAACATTAAAAATGAGTTTTTGATGGAAGATTATTTAGAATGATTAATATTTTCCAAGTGTTACTATATGTTACAAGGGTTCCGTACATATAAAGAACTCCGAAATCCGAGTTATAACAAATAAGTTATGGCCCGTCGAAGCTTTATGACAAAACCGGCACGATACCGGGAGACGTAAATAGTGAATTTTTGATAAAGGAATTTTTAGCCTTAGTGATCTAAACAAAAGTTGTAGTATACGTTAAACTGAGAACATACAAAAAAAAACGCCCAAATCTAACTTCGTATGAGGAAGTTATAAATTTTCTAAGATTTGGCTTAGCAGTGCACAACCCAAAACTCGAATTTTAGATCAATCGGTTTTTGGCCTATGCGACCTAAATGAGAATTGAATATCTCATTAATAGAATCTCAACGGTAAAAGACAGATGAAAACGGAGTCTGTATGTAGAAGTTATGAATTTTATGCGGATATTTAACAATATAATCTCCTCGTACTGTTAAATTTAAGATCGGTCAAGAATTAGCCGACAGAGTCAAAATGAAAGTTGTAGATTTTATTTTTACCTACGCGTGGATATAAAGAACGTCAAAAACAGAGCTCGTATGTGAAAGTTACAAAATTTAGAAGTCGGAAGTGTGTTGTGTAAAAATGGGTGACATGGCACAATCTTGGCCATTGCTTTCTCCCCAAGTCTTGCCACCAGATGGTGACATGTGGCACCAAGTTCAGCCATATTTCACCCTATAAATAGAACATCTCTTACTCTCATTTTCTTCACACATTTCCTATTCTTTCTTCTCTTTACTCTTTCTTTAGAACCTCTCTCCAGCCCCAAAACCCCCGAAAAGCCTAGGGAACCTCCCTAGCACGAGGCGGAAGCCTAGGGAACCTCCCTAGCACGAGGAGGAAGCACAGAAGTGCTCTACGGCTCCAAAAAGAAGAGATTTTCGGCTTGAGAACGTTGCTCCAAGTGAAGTCCGATTTTTTATAAAATCCGCTGTAAGTGAGCTACGCCTACGCTATTTTTAACATACATTTTATTTAATTATAGTAACGCTATTAGGAACTTATAATAAGTATTTGGGCTAATATTATGGGTTATATAATTATTGTTTAACACTTATATAATAGTAATAATGGATAGACTATTAGTTAGTCTCGGTGAATGATAGACTAAACCCAAGTGGTAATAATACTAGGTTTTGCTGAAGAAAATTGTTTCAAGAGTAACGAAGCGTTCTCTAAGTTCAGTATCACCACCTTTTCAAGTGAGTGCATAGTTACTATCATCTTACACATAAATATGATGTATTTTATATAAATTACGTGCTATGTGTGCATACTATCTGAATACTTGCTGTCTATGTTTGATGAATGATTTTATACATGTTTTAAAATGATTTAAACTGTATATGTGTTTTATATCTACAAATATGTTGAGTATGACATGGGTAGATGAATAATGAGAGATAAAAGATAATGTGAGTAAACATTGGCAGCTATAGACTTAGTGCCTAATAAATAATATTCGCAACTATGGACTTAGTGCCTATTGGACAAACACCGGTAGCTATGGACTTAGTACCTATTAGGTAAACACGGGTGGATATGGACTTAGTACTTGTTAGGTGTTGGTAGCTACGGACTTAGTACCTGGTAGCTATGGACTTAGTACCTGGTAGCTATGGACTTAGTACCTACACTGGTAGCTATAGATTTAGTACCTGATAAATGAACTATAGCAAGTATGGCTTTAGTGCATTGGCAGCTATGTAATTAGTGCCTGTCTATAAACCCTGGAAGCAAGGGACTTCGAAATGAACGAATGCATGATAGATGACTCTTAGGGTAGACCCTTAAGAGGAAGATAATGGGGATGGGTAATTGGGTTGATTGTTTGATGGTTAAAGATAATAATTATATTATTGTGGGTTGAAAACCCTATATACTCACCAGGTTTACCAACCTGACCCACTCAATTTATTTATATCACAGATGTTGATATGAAGTCACATTACACTGAGAGATTAAGGAGATATAAATCACTAGTGATAATGAATGTATGTTCTGTTTATGCTTATGTTTCTGTATTGACGATGACATTCCAAATGTTTTAAAATGAATAAAAAATACTTTTATTCGGAAATTTCTTGATAACATATTTATCATGTTTTACTGGGAACAAATTCCGCAACATTTTTATTAAAAGATGTACTCTGATTTTTATAAAGCATAAACAAAAAAAAGTATTTTCTGGCCCTAAAAATGGGGATGTCACAGTTGGTATCAGAACATTAGTTTAAGCGAACTAGGAATATATGAATTTATTTCTAGACTTAAACTTAGAATGCTAAGCAATGATTGTGAGGAATGTGTCTTAGGTAATACACCTGGATAGGCACAAACACTAGCTTATTTAGGGAAAATGCCTAACATGCTTTTATGTGATAAATGATTTATGATGCTAAATGTATGATCAGATCTATCGTCTGTTGCCGACCGGATTTGGAAACTTTACGTGTTCACACTTCTAAACGTTTAATTACGGTATTAGAATTGACATGTAACTTTTCAGAGTAATAGGGAGATTTACACATCGATCGTAAATAAAATCTTTCTTATCTTAATTCTCGTCATTACACACTGAATGTTTGAATCAGTGTGTAGATCAAAATGGCAAGAACCTAAAGTGGAGTCGGGAACGCAAATGGAAATTGGAATCAACAACCCCTAGTGATTGAACAAATACATGTTGTAGTAGAAGTTGCACCTGAACCAATCACCATGGCTGGAGTACAAGCCATGATTCATGTAACACCCCAATTCTCAGGTATTCTTAAATAATATTTGTTGGGTTAAGCTTTACTCGACGAGTTGGCTGACCTACTTGTCGAGTAGCAGCGGGATGGGATCGCATGTTAAGTGACCTACTCGACAAGTCCATGTTGGGACTCGACGAGTAGGAGCTAGCAGTGGAAACCCTAAATCCCGGGGTTTTCACCTCTATTTAAAGGAGCCTTAGCCTCCTTTGAGCTCTTTACAGTCTTGAGAGCCCCCTTAAAACCCTACTTTGTGTGTGTGCCTTGGTGTGGTGTTGAAGCTTCGAAAAGAGGATCTTGGAGAAGAAAGCTAGGAGTGCAAAGGAATTGAAGCAAGGAAGGAGTGGGAGACCGGATTTACCTCAGCTAGCATCCTTTGGAGATATCAAAGTGCCATTTCTACTTCCCTTTTCCCTTTTGTTTAGTTCTAGGGTTTTTTATGAATTTTCAAGTTGGTATGTTGAGCTATGGGCTAGATCTG